TTTCCTCGCGCAACACTCTTAATCAACTTAGAATCGGATTCACACTGCTAGTAACTGTAACGCAACTGTCAACTTGATACAACTTTATGCAACTTCACGCGACTTTAAACGACTTTATACGACTTTATAAGACTTTTTATTGCACACATAAAATCTATTCTCTTTTATCCTCGGACGAGCCTCCAAATGTAGGATTCCATTCTTTTCTTATAAGTCTTCCTATGAATATCTGAATATTGAAGATCAGAAATACAAGTGTTAATAATAATAAACGGTTCTTAAAGATGAATAGACTGTTTCAATGTAAATACAATTTAATCTGATACAATTTAATACAGTAAAAAAAGTTCGCTGCTTAAAAGCTAAACGATGATTAGTCTAAGATCTTTGTCCTTTATTAATATTTCTCGCATCGCAACGTACCGCTGCACGTCGCTACATACTAACTATATCGTATTAAATTTTATAGCCCCTTTGTCTAATTTCCCCTTCCCACATATATTATAAATTTTTTATCGCTATTATTACATAGCACATATTTAAAAATTTAATAGTTTTTACTACGATTTATTCCAGAAAATAACGAAAATTTCTTTCGAAATATATTAAAACATTTTTAGCGACTATAAAAATGTGCTTTTAGAAACTAGGCAGAATGGATGCTAGGATTACTACAATCGAGTTTCGTCGAAGAGAACTGAATTCTACACGTAAAGTAACAAAAAAAGTCGTAGTAAAATGATTTATTCACTTTTTTAGGACTTTAGTTGTTGAAATGTAAACGATATTTGCTAGATTTTACTGGACTTCACACTTATTATTTGTTTGTATTTGCTTTAAAACTAGTAAAAATACGTTTTATAGATTTTGGTATACAGTACTTCTTTAAATATCTGATTCATTTAAACTATTATTTAATGTATAAAGCAGCGAAAATTTTTCTTAAATATATTTAAAAATTTATAGCGACGGTAATATGGGTTATTAGAAATAAGAAAGAATGGATGTTAAATTGACTACAATCAAATTTTGTCGAAAATGTATTGAATTCTAAACGTGAAGTAACCAAAAATAGTTGTAATAAGATGATTTTTATTCTTTTTTTGGATTTAAGATGTTGAAATGTAAACGATATTTGCTGGATTTTAATGGATATAACACTATTTATTAGTTAGTATACGCTTTAAAACTTGAAAGAAAACGTTTTATAGATTCTGGTAAAAAGCGCTTTTTTAGATTTCTTATATTTTTAACAAAGATTTAAATCACAAAGTAGCTAAAATTTTTCTTAAATATATTACAAAATTTTTAGCTGAGGAAAAAATTTGTTAATAGAAACTAAACAGAGTGGATGTCATTTTGACTACAATCGAGTTTTTTCGAAAGAGAATTGAATATTACACGTAAAGTATCAAAAAAAAGCAGTAATATAATAATGTTTTTCTTTTTTTTTGATTGCAGTATTCCAAATAAAAATGATATTTGTCAAATTCTTATAGACCTAACATTCTATACTTGTAAGTATACGCAATAAACCTGAACAGAAAACGTTTCATAGCTTCTAGGAAATAGAACTTTTTTTAATTCTTTATAATTTGTAACTACAATTTAATCAAGAAAGTAGCGAAAATTTCTTTTTACATATATTAAAAATTTTTTAGCAAATGTAAAATGTGCTATCAAAATCTAAACAGAATAGATGTTTAGTTGACTACAATCGAATTTTGTCGAAAGATAATTGAATTCTAAACGTGAAGTAAGCAAACAAAATTGTTTTAAAATCATTTTTTCTTGGTCTTCGACTGCAGTTGTAGAAAAGTAAATAATAAATGCTAGATTTTAAAGGACATAACAATTTTTATTTGTTAGTATGCGCTTTAAAACTTGAAAGATAACGTTTTATAGCTTTTGTTATACAGCACTTTTAAGAAATTTTAAATCTTTTAATTACGATTTTATCCAGAAAGTAGCGAAAATGTCTTCTTAATATAACAAAAAATTTTTGGCGACGATAAAAATTTGCTACTAGAAACAAAACAAAATAAATTTCAGGTTTACTACAATCGATTTACGTTAAAAAAGAATTAAATTCTTCACGCAAAGTAAACAAAAAAAGTCGTAGTAAAATGATTTATTCACTTATTTTGACTGCTGTACTCCGAATATAAATAATGTTTGCTAAATTTTTCCGGACTTAACACTTTTTATTTGTAATTATACACTTAAAAGCTTGTAACAAAACATTTTATATCTTCTGTTTAATTGCACTTCTTTAGATTTTTTATAATTTTTACCTACGAACTAATCCAGAAAGTTGCGAAAATTTCGTTTTAAACAAAATAAAAGTTTTTTAGCAAAGGTAAAAATTTGCTATTAGAAAATAAACAGAATAGATGTCAGTTTCACTACTATCGAGTTTCGTCGAAAAAGAATTGAATTCTACAAGTAAAGTAACCAAAAAAAGTCGTAAAAAAAAGATTTTTTTAATTTTTTTTTACTGCATTAGTCCAAATATAAATGATGTTTGCCAAATTTTTTCGGACATAAAGCCTTTTATTTGTAAGTATACGTTGGAAAATTGGAAACAAAACGTTTTATAGATGTTGTTATATAGTACTTTTTTAGTAATTTTTAAGTTTTTAACTACGATTAATCCAGAAAGTAGCGAAAATTTTTTTGTACATATATTACAAAATTGTAAGCGACGTTAAAAATGTGCTATTAAAAACTGAACAGTATAGACGTTAGGTTGACTCAAATCGAATTTCGTCAAAAAAGAATTGAGTTCTACACGTAAAGTAACCAAAAAATGTTGTAATAACATGATTTTTTCTTTTTTTTTGGACTGCAGTTGTTAAAATATAGATGATGTTTGCTAAATTTTTTCGAACATAACACCTTCTATTTGTAAATATTTGTTGGAAAGAATGAAAGAAAACGTTTTATTGCTTTTGTTATATTGCTCCCATTAATAAATTTATTAGTTTTTAACTACAATTTTATCCAGAAAGCAGCGAAAATTTCTTTTAAAATATATTAAAACATTTTTAGCAACGGTTAAAATGTGCTACAAGGAACAAAACAGAATGGACGTCAGGTTTACTACAATCGAGTTTCGTTGAAGGAGAATTGAATTTTTCACGTAAAGTAACCAAAAAAAGTTGTAACAAAATGATTTTTTTCTGTTTTTTTCGACTGCAGTTGTTGTCAAATAAATAATAAATGCTATATTTTATTTGACATAACTCTTTTTATTTGCTAGTATACGCTCAAAACTTGAAAGAAAACGTTTTATAGCTTTTGTTATAAAGCTCTATTTTAGAAATTTTATAGTTTTTAACAACGATTTAATCCAGAAATTAGTGAAAATTTTTTTTAAAATATTTTAAAACATTTTTAGCTACGGTATAAATGTGCTACTATAAACCAAACAGAATGGACGTCAGGTTTACTAATGTTGCGTATTATAGGCAACGAGTTAGTAGGGCGAAGCGCCGGGGCATGTACGGCTCTGCCGAGACGGGAGACACGCTCGACAAAGCAGTGTCTCTGTTTTTGGTGGTAGCCACGGTAGCGCTAAGATGCTTGTAAGGGCTTCTTCTTTCTTCAAGTTTGAGTTCTCCCACCACATTTATTTTGCTAATCACATGTATCGACAGCCCTGTTATGCTCGGACTTTTCGGTGATTGGTGCAACATTGCATCGCTTTTTGGTATAAAACCCAGCGCGTTCTTGCGTATGTTTGCACTCATCATTTGGACACATTTGATTCATCACGCGTGAATCATCGCTTGAGATTCATCTATATTAGAAAGCTGAGACTTGCGAGAACTACTTTAAGGAGAATTATTTGTATTGCGCAATACTACATCATTTAAGTTCGGTCAGCGACAAGGGACAAAGGCGGTCCTGTAATTGGCTAGAATTATCCTAATTTGTACGGATACTTCGTCAACGTTTTAACCAGGGTTTTTATGCTAAAAGGCTTGACCATGACAAGCTTAATAAAGCGTACTTTTTAGTACAGACTAAACTCAAATATATTTGTTATTGTGTGTTATTTTCCTATCCTCGTACTCATTAATAAACGATCTCGACATCACCCGTAAGGGCATTTTTCGGTTCACTAAATTCATCTGGAGTACTGATTAAGGCATCGGTCGCATCAACATTTTGGTCTTTCGAGCCGGACAGGAAGCTTTCTCCCTACTCTTCGTCCGGCGTCTATTGTGCATACAGTCTTCTTCCACGGAGGAGAAAGAGGCGACAGAAGACTTCCGATCGAGCAACAAAGTAGGTATTGCGTCATTGCTACAAGATAAGTAGTTTCTATTGTTCCGGTGCGTGAGTACCCTGCACAAGACACTTTATCAAGAGGATTCACCTGAGTTTTGAAATTTCTGTAGCTTGATCATTCTTTGAAGTCGTATTTTTCCCCCTCTTTCTCTTCTTAATTTTGCCTTTTGTCGTAAAAATGCCTCGTTCGAGTAGTGCACGTGGTGATGTCGAGCGCGTTGTACGGAGATTCGAGTATATAAAGAAAGAATTCGCGCAGTTTTCAAAAAGCATTAAGCGAGATAGATCGTACTAGCCCGCAAAATATAGTGAAATTGAAAATTAGAATTTCCAAAATCGATTAGGATGCGGAAATATTAGAGGAAATAATAAAAAAAACTTTCGGTGAAGCGAAGGAAACGCTGTTTGACGAAATTCCTAATCATGTCGAGTCAGTCATCAATGCTAATGCGGAAACGGTATTAATTAATAATAGAACTGAATCGGTAGCTAGTCAAGTTACAAATTCGCCTACCGCGAGTCTGCTGTCTCAGGTTAGCAATACGGTTAGCAGTCCGTCCGAAGCTAGTATTTACAGAATACCAACTGTTCAATTACCTCGATTTGACGGGCAAAATGTGGAATGGCCGAGATTCACGGACACGGTTCAGGCAGTGATAGGAAAAAATCCCGTACTTCGGGATATACAAAAGTTTGCATATTTAAAATCATGCTTATCGAAACCAACCGTGGAGAAAATAAAATTTCCGGAAATTATCGCGGGTTGTTATCCGACTGCGTGAAAGACCTTAGTTAAGTGCTATGACAATCCGTTAATACTAATAAATATGCACGTGCGAGCTATTTGGAGGGTCCTCCGATTAACAGTGAGTTTCTGTCGTCTTTAATGGCAGCGTCTGATGCGGTAAAGGCAAGTTATAAGGCATTAGTAGCGACCAAAAAAGTGTTTGTCGATCAATTTGCTATCACCGCACATTTTTCGCGAGTGGATCCAGCAACACGTCTTTAATGGAAACAACGGTGTTCCCGAGATGCTTTACTAACGGTGAATGAGTTTGTGGTATTTTTACGCGATACTGGAATTGCTCTAGTAAGCGCTACGCCAGCAGAAAAGCCGAGGAGGATTGACAATAGCAGATAAAACGCGCCGTTTAGACCTGAGACGAATATTCGTTCAAGGAAATCGATGCTTGATGAGCCGCGTTTTAATTTTCCGTGAAATTTTCCGCGAAGTACCGACCAAATATAAGTTTAGGTTTATTTCTTGAGTGCGACCATCTCGTGTGTCATATGCCGCGAGAAACAAGCATCCATCAAAGTGTGAGCTGTTACGGAGGGCCGAGCCTGAGGACCGCAAGAGAATTGTGGTTAACGCCAATTTGTGCTTGAATTGTTTTCAAGCTGATTATAAATTTGCACATGTATTAGAAAAGGCTGCTGCAGAAAAGTGCAAAGGCAGTAATTGTGAGTTTTTACATGTGAAAGAGGCCGTTGCAGAAGGTAAAACGGTGGGCATCACGAGTTTGCGTATCMMGAAKGTATYGGAAGTGCATGAKGCACATGTAAAGCTYAATCACTCGCGTGCACTTGCGCTGTTGCAGCAGTGGTGTATTTGCCAGATCTTGATGTCATGCCACACGGGTGTCTTGTACTCATGGAGTCGGGTTCCGATGCGAATTTTTTAATGATTTATTGTCGGGAATTTTGTACGAATATTTAAGCAAGTCATGGACGTACAAATATTTACTTTATCACCAGCTGTAACGAATCGGTTAACTTCGCCACGAATTTCAGGAGAAGAGTTAGTTATGCCGGCAGGGATCCATTTGGTAGATCACAAATTTCATGAGACCACGACTATCGACGCACTTCTCGGTATCGAGATTTTTACATTACTATGACGCTCAGATCAGAGTATGAGATTGAAGGAAAGTTAATGGCACCAGGAACTGTGTCAGCATGGCTTGTTATGAAAACTGGAGCCGCGCTTTGTTCGCAGAGCGTTAACTGCTACACAGATACAAAAAAGTTTAACTAATTATTGGAGAAAATTGGGAAAATTGAAGAATTAACTAAGACTAGTATTAGGTCACACGAGGAAAATTTGTGCGAAGCGCATTATAAAAGTTACACGCGACAGGATGATACAGGCAGATGTGTTGCAAGGCTGCTATTCAAAGAAGAGAATCAGTTAGGCGATTCGTACACGAGCGCGTTGTGAGGATTTCACTCGTAGCAAGGATTTCACGCGTTAAGAGAATTACACGCGTTAAAGCGGTTATAATCCGGCGAGTCGGAAATTAGAAATGAATAAATTAAATTCTTACCCGAATATGAAGAACTAGGTCAAATGACAACGATAGAAGGGGTACCCCACGAAGATACATTCTATTTACCGCATCATGCTGTATTAAAGCATATTAGTCTTACGACCACATTGCGAGTAGTTTTCGACGCGTCGGCAAAAAACTAGAAACCGGAATCTTTTGAATGAAGTATTAATAGTTGGTCCGAACATGCAGGAGGATCTGTTTACATTTTTAGGAAGATTCAGATCACGCGCTATCGCTATTACCGCGGAAATCACGAATATGTATTGGCAGATAATAATGGACCCACGCGATCGCAAATACCAAACTCTACTCTGGCGTCGACAGGAAAGTGAGCCCGTGTAAGCATATAGATAAAATACAGTAACTTATGGAACCGCCTGCGCGTCGTTCTTAGCAACGCGTAATTTACATCAACTCGCGAGCGACTAAGTTCACCAATTCCCGAGAGCTGCCATCGTTCTTAAAGAGGATTTCTATGTAGACGACTTGTTAGCCGGAGCGCGTACGGTTAGGGAAGCAAAGAGAGCTTGCGACGAATTAATAAGGATAACCGCAGAGGCAGGCATGAATTTTCGGCAATGGGCGTTAAATTGCGCCGAGACTCTAAAAGACTTAGATACTACAGATAATAACATCGTAAATTTAGATTCGTCAAGAACGGTTAAAACATTAGGTGTTAATTGGAGACGCGGACGAAGATAAAATAGGCTATACGGTTAAGCGAGCTGTTGCTATGGCAATTAAAATCAACGTGGAAGAAAAGGTATCAGCTCGATATATATAAAATATAGCAAGATTTTAGCTAAAATCTCCACACGCTCGAGGAGAATAAGATTCGCGTGTAGCATAACGTGTAACGGAAAAGTATTGGAAATGTCCGATTTATACGGCGCGAGCTTTAATAACTTTTTGGCGCATTAATACTCCTATGGATTGTTAAAGCGTCTAAAAACGCTTTGCGTGGACTTATAGAACGCTATGCTAAATATTTTCATATATATTTCGACAGCACGACTAATTTTGTTGATTCTGCGAACGAATTAGAGGCGCGCGTGATCGCGAAGCTTAGTTAATGAAATATATAAGTGGCATTTTATCTCTTCCCACTACCTCATTTTGACGGTCTACGGGAGGTGGCAAGAAAATCTTTTAAGTACAATTTAGTTAGTCTAGTTAGAATTGTTAGCGAAGCAATGTTATCGTGTGAGGCATTAATAATTTACGTCCTCGAAATAGAGGCTATTCTAAACTTGCGTCTTATCACCCATCGGTCTAATGATTTGAACGACTTGCGTGCTCTTACACCTGGTCATTTTTTAATTGGATATTATTTKCCGAGTCCGCCAGAGGACGAGTAAAGGGTTGTATCATCTGGGTGTCTATTGCAATAGCAGCACGTTCTGCGGGTGAGACAGCTGTTCTGGACATGATGAAATAAGGAATATTTAAAAGAGCATACGTCACAAGGACGTGTCACGAAGATACATGCGAGAGCTGACAGAATATAACACAAGGCAGCCGCGATACCGGCCAACGGTCTTGTAAAGCGCAATATTAAACGTCTTTCTTCTTTGCCGAACAATTTATAAAAAAAAAAAAAAAAAAAAACTCTTGCAATTTTGTAGAGTTAAATTGGAATATGTATTATAACATGCGGTTAGCAGTGTACGTATATGTTTTATAATTTGTATTTTATTGTGTGTGTATCTTTTTAAATTTTTAACAGTGCCCGTTCAAGGAGGGGAGGTATGCCGCGAATTATACGCTACGAGTGGGTAGGGCGAAGCGCCAGGGCATGAACGGCCCTTTCGGTGATTGGTGCAACATTGCATAGCTTCTTCGCATAAAACCCAGCGCGTTCTTGCGCCTGTTGGCACTCATCATTTGGGCACTCTTGATTCATGAAGCGTGAATCATCGCTCGAGATTCATATATCTTAGAAAACTGAGACTTGCGAGAACTACTTCAAAGAGAATTATTGTTATTGTGCCATACTACATCATTTAAGTTCAGTCAGCGACAAGGGACAAAGGCGGTCCTGTACTTGGCCAGAATTATTCTGATTTGTACAGATTCTTCGTCAACGTTTGATCCAGCGTTTTTATGCCTAAAGGCTTTTCTCTGACGAGCTAAAAAAAGCGTAGTTTTTAGTACTGTCTAGGTTCAAATATATTTGTAATTGTGTTTAATTTTTCTATAATCCTTCCTATTATTAAGCAATCTTAATAACACCCGTAAGGGCATTTTTCGATTCACTACAAACCACTGGAGTACCGATTAAGGCATCGGTTGCATCATCAACTACAAACGAGTTTCGTTGAAAAAAATTGAATTCTTAACGTAAAGTAATCAAAAAAAGTTGTAATAAAATGATTTTTTCACTTTTTTTAGACTGCAGTTTTTAAAATATAAATGTAATTTGCTAGACTTTATTGAACCTAACACTTTTCATTTGTTAGTATACGCTTTAAAATTTGAAAGAAAACGTTTTATACCAATTGATATATAGCATTTCTTTAGATATCTGACAGGTTTTACTATAATTTAATCTAGAAAGCAGCAAAAATTTATTTTTATTAAATTAAAAAATTTTTAGCGACGGTAAAAAGTGCTATTAGAAATAACACAGAATAGATGCCAGAATAACTACAATCGAGTTTCTTCAAAAGAGAATTGAATTCTTTACGTATAGTAACCAAAAAAAGTTGTAATAAAATGATTTTTTTCTTTTTTTTAGACTGCAGTTGTTAAAATATAAATGTTATTTGCTAGATTTTATAAGACCAATCACTTTTTATTTTATAGTACACGCTTTAAAACTTGAAAGAAATCGGTTTATTGCGTTTGTTATATAGCACTTCTTTGGATATCTGATAGATTTCCACAATTATTTAATCTAGAAAGCAGCGAAAATTACTCTCAAATATATTGAAATATTCTTAGCGACGGTAAAAATGTACTATTAGAAACAAGACAGAATAGATGTCAAGTCGACTACAATCGAGCTTCGTCGAAAGAGAATGGAATTCTACATGTAAATTAATCAAACAAAGTCGTAATAAAATGATTTTTACTCTTTCTTTGACTACAAATATGAAAATATAAATGTTTTTTGCTATATTTTATTAGACATAACACATTTTATTTGTTATTATAAGCTCTAAATCTTGAAAGAAAACGTTTTATAGCTTTTGTTATATAGCACTTGTTTAGAAATTTTTTAGTTTTATACTTTGATTTAATCCAGAAAAAAGCGAAAATTTTTATTTAAGTATATTAAAACATTTTTAGCGACGGTAAAAATGTGCTACTAGAAAAAAAACAGAATGGATGTCAGGTTTACTGCAATCGAATTTCGTTGAAAAATAAATAAATTTTTCACGAAACGTAACCAAAAAAAGTTGTAATAAAACGATTTTTATTCTTTTTATTTGACTGCAGTTCTTAAA